GTTGCCCCTTGTCCTGTTGCTGGGCACCACTGGGAAGATTCTGGCCCCATCCTCTTGACACCCACCCTTTAGATATTTCTAAGTATTGATCAGATCCCCTCCCAGTCTTCTCTTCTCCAGGCTAAACAGACCCAGCTCTCTCAGCCTCTCCTCCTAAGAGAGATGCTCCAGCCCCCTAATCATCCTTGCAGCCCTCCGCTGGACTCTCTCCAGTAGCTCCCTGCCTTTCATGAACTGGGGAGCCCAAAACTGGACACAGTCCTCCAGATGTGGCCTTGCCAGGGCAGAGCAAAGGGGGAGGATAACCTCCCTCAATCTGCTGGCCACGGTCTTCTTAACGCACCCCAGGATACCATTGGCTGCCTTGGCCACAAGAGCACACTGCTCGCTCCTAGAGCGCTGCTGCCCAGCAGGACTCCCAGGTCCTTCTCTGCAGTGCTGCTTCCCAGCAGGTCAACCCCTAACCTGTACTGGTGCTTGGGGTTGTGCTTCCCTACATGCGGGACCCTACACTTGCCCTTATTGAATTTTGTATGGTTCTTCTTTGCTTGGTTCTCTAGTCAGTCCAGGTCTCGCTGAATGGCAGCGCAGCCTTCCGGTGTGTCGGCCACTCCTCCCAGCTTAGTATCATCAGCGAATTTGTCATTGTCTCCTCATCCAGGTCACTGATGAATATGCTGACTAGGACTGGACCAAGCACTGTCCCTTGGGGCACACCGCTAAATACAGGTCTCCAACTAGACTCCATGCTGCTTATCACAACCCTCTGGGCTCTGCCATTCAGCCAGTTCTCTGCCCACCTCACTGACCCCTCATCCAACCCATGCTCCTAAGCTTGCTAACAAGGATGTTATGAGAGACAGTACCAAAAGCCTTGCTAAAGTCAAGTATTAGTATTAGAGATGCTCTGGTCCCCTTAATCATCTTGGTGGCCCTTTGTTGGACTCTCTCCAGTATGTCCACATCTCCCTCACAGTGGGGAACCCAGAACTGGACATAGCACTCCAGTTGCCTCCACCCCTACTTCATCTCTATTTAGTACACCTATAGAAGTACAGTAGTAACTACACTACCATTAGCCTAAAAAAAAAAAAAAAAAAAAAAAGAGGGCTATTCTCTTGTTTCAGACCCACTTTTTAAGAAGATATGATTTATTAGGTCATCTTAAAAAATGGCTAAAAGTCGAATGTACTATTAAACATTCTTTTGCTCAGGATAACGAACTATGAAAGAAAGTACAACAGAAGGAAGGAAGTTGCAATAGAAATGTACCACATGGAGAAGTTAGAGAAAAAGAGGAAGTGAAACTACAGGGCATAATACACACAGAGCTGGAAACAAGGTGGCGCTAATTTTAAAGAGAATGATAATCTGTCCATTTTTTGTTATTTAGTCTACAGTCATGCTAAAAGATTCAATATATGCACTTATGTTACCAAGTCTTGATAAATCAAGATACTGAACTCACTACTAATGCATTTTAAAGTTTTTGATAAAGAGTCATTATTACCTCTCTAGTTTGAGAGGGAAGGCTATTTTTAGGAATCTTGAAACGATGAACAGTGTCATCAAAACATCTGACAGAAAAGAAGCAAGTGTCTGTAGATTTTACCTAAAGCAATGTGGAGAAAAGACAAAATTAGTATAATGAATCAGTAAGAAAAAGACAAAATTGTTGAGAGTAAGCAAGGTAGAGAATTACTCTTAACTGAAGTTTTTGCCTCAGTTTTGATACGAAACAACTAGAGTTTACAAAAGGCTTAGTCAGAACAGTTTTGCAAAGTGCGCTGTCTTGCACTTTACATCATGAATGAGAATATAGAGGTTCTTTATATCCAAATATTATACTTACATGTATTGGTACCACTTGTTTCAGACAAAATCTCAGTAGTGGTGCAAGACCACCAATATTAAGGAATTTATAGATATAGAAGTCACTATTCATATAGTAAGAATATACATAATTGTAGTTAAAACAGAACTTGTGGTGCCCATCTATAGAAATATGACAGGTCAGTAATAGAATAAAAAGTATTGAAATGAACCTAAATGCATTTTCCTTAAACACTTAATCTTCCTATGTATTATAAACAACATCTGGCCTGTTTTCCCTCTGTTTTCTGTTCATCCCTTCCAAAATAGATTCCCACAAGCATAACTGAATTTAAGGAAAGTTTCCAAAAGCCACCTTCAGCATTGATCAGTTCTCCAACTGAGATCAACTTAAGTTACACAATCAGTCACAAGCAGCCACTCACAGCCACAGGAGGAACTAGAGCTTTGCTAGTCTGTATCACATGCTCCAAACAGTTGTTTTGCACAATTGAAGTGGCATGCTTTTAGGAAGCATTATGTCTGTTTAAATCTTCAAGACTTTGGAAGGAAGCGAAGGAGCTTTATGGCCACTTTACTTATAAGAATACTTTGCTTAACAAGAACCAGTGTTTCTTGCAAGAGCACAAACTTTTTCCCTTTTTTATAACAAAGGCATGCTTACCAACCTAGCTGAAGTTCTCATTGTCTAGGTACAGAACACCATCACATAAAAAAACCCCACCCAAAACAGTAGTTACAAGTCATTTCACTTCCTACCGTGCAGACAGCTTGTGTTAGATGCTTGCATCCCTGACGATGATCATTATTCACTGCATCAGCTCTGTGAAAGAAAAAGATTTAATGAAGTGAAGATGGGAATTATTTAACTCGCTTTTCAGAAATTTAAACACAGAACTTACTGTCTCCGATACCAGGAAAGGACTCCATGTTCTAGAACTATCCAGTAGAGTTTCCAACCAAAAAATCGTGAGCTCTAAAGAAATAATAAAAAAAAAAAAAAAAAGGCCAGGTAAGGTTAATAGCTGAAGAGTAACTATTCCCAGTAAGTTTAGTAGCTTGAAGGCTATTACATAAAACTGGAGGTCATTAGGAAACCATTTTAGATTTCACTTATCTTGGTGATCACAGCAACCTGAGAATACTTTACAATTACAGTCTATTCTTTTTTTTTTTTTTTTGGAAATACCTAAAGATAGAAGTTTTGTTGAGCAAGCTATTAAGAACTGAAATATTTAAATGCTACATTTTTTTAATATTACCAGGGTTGTTGATTACCACACAATTCCACTTTATAAAATCAAGTGAGAAACAAACCACAGCAAGATATCCAACTACAACATTTTACCTATCACAAGCTTTAGTACATAGTTATGGTTTAAAAACAGATCCTTTATTACAATTGTGAGTGAATACATAGGAAAATTTACGCTGAAGAAAGCTTCAAAGATTTCATTAAGGAACATAAAAATCAAGCATTCATGTAGAAGATTGAGAAAACTTATTTTTTTAACAAGGCAAAACACTCACTTGAGTATCAGAACAAAACAAGCTTTAAACAACCATTTGACTGACATCTTACCTCTAAGTCTTAAAATTTCCAAAAGGTGGTGAACTTGTGGCAAAATGTTAATCATAGATTATTAAGACATCTAATCAGAAAAGAAAAAAACCCCAAACCCAAAAAATTTTGCCTGCCACACAGACAAGGAACAAAACCTTACCACAGTGAAGCTTTGCCACAGAAATTACCAAGAAATGAAGAGATTTTAGGGACTGAGGTTAAGATCAGAGTGCCATGAATCTAGTATCTGTTCCGCCCAGCCAGCCCATCTATAATTTATCCAATATACTGGATTAAAATCAAGTCATTTAACAAATGTATTATTGAAAAGTTCCCTCATTCATCAACTCTCACTGAAGTACAGAAAAGGACACACTGACATACTTGGAGATCTCCTAAGCTGTTTTAGAAAAGGAATAAAACATACCTTCCATAGGAGACCTTCATATCGTCTCAGGGGTTTGTTGATAACCTGCATAGAAATTAAAGCTGATGTAGGAATAGCTTCAACTAGACAGCCTTGGCATTTTAAATGGATATGAAAGTTCCTACCTTTCCAGTTTTACCTCCCAGTATCAGTTTCATTTCTGCACCTTGGGCTAGATCAAGGGGTGTCTGATCTGTTTAGTAACCAAGACAAGGCATGAGAATTTGATGCAAATACACCTAGATGTACTTAAAAGTAATCACTGTGACACTGTGTTCACCCATTAAACTTTAGCCCCACAAACATCTATGTTTACTTGGAATAGGAGAACTTAAGCTCCTCAGGGGCAGAAGACTAAAAAGGCTCTGAACTGTCCTTCAGAGTTCTTCTAGCCACAGAGAGGCCTTTGCTTTTAAGTTTGGTTTTAGCTCTTCAGCTATATAAAAGAAGTTCAGAACGTTCACAATATCAAGGCAGAGGCATCTTTAATCAGATGACAAGTACACAGTGTGTACATCTGTGTCAAGTTTTCCTAGATTTGCTTTCATTAGAAGCCTTCTTCTGAAAAGTCACTTTGGGCTACATCTTCAATCTTACCACTTTTTTTTTGTTACCGTGTTCAGCATTTAGCATCAAGAAAACAAACACCAGGCGCATTTCATGGTTAAGACAGAGCAAGTAAATTTTCTAGAAATAGGTAAGCTTGGAAAATAAGAACATATACAGTAAGTATTTTGCTACAGTTCTTAAGTCTCTGGTAATTTAGTCAGTGCTGGGCTTCCTTTATTAGTGACACAAAGCTTGTAAAGCACCGTAAGATTATCCCTGAACACTGAGTAGTAACATAGCTTATAGAAGCTGTTAAATTTCTGGCTTCTGTTAATGCTTTATGTACTTTCATTTGGAACTTACCATTTTTGTTTCTTATTTTAGGATCTGCTCCATTTTTCAGAAGTTTCAATGCACAATGCTTATGGGCACGGTATGCTGCACAATGCAATGGTGTGTTCCCCATCTGATCTGTACAGTTGATATCAGGTGGTTTGGGCTTGTTCAACTGGAAAAAAAACCCAAAGTTTTGCTTAGTTATCTGTCTTCCCCTCCAGATGCCACATTCCTTCTTCTAGAAGTTAGCTGTTCCTAACTAGGATGGTTCAGGGTAGATCTAGCAACCAAGAGGGCATTTAGCTAAAGTTACAATAAGGGCAAGGACTACAACAGTCAAGCAAGATGCTTAGCTAGAGTACGGAACTTCTCAGATTTTTTTCTTGCTACACCACTTCCACCTCTAAGTGCACAACATGGAAACATCTATCCTGCTCAATTGCACAGTACCAGAGAGAGTTCCCCAGCATTGCAGTTCAGTCATTTATATTGCCAGAACAGCCCTGTGCGATTCTACTGCCAAAATCTACTGTTCTCCCTAGAAGACTCCCAGGCACAGTCTGAAAGTTAGCACAGGCCAGTGCTAAATCCAGAACGAGTTTGCGTGGCGACCCTGTTTCAGAGCATAAGAACTTTGTACAGAAGGGTGGCAGGCCTGCCAGTCTCAGTGACAGAGCTATCCTAGGCCATTTAGAAGCTCCTAGTGTAGGCAGTCTGTGACACAGCTTTGCTGCATTCTGAAGTCTAACTATTGTGGGAACTTAGAGTAGAGCAGCTATGTAACTGAGGAAAAAAAAACCCAAGTTTTACTTGGACATACTACAAATGTTTTGAGAAACTGACCCCAAAGAGAAGGGTCATTAAGCATGACACTAACTGCCCTAAAATACCACTACACTTCTACTGAAATACATGGCTATTGCATGTGTACATGGGGGACGAGATGATCTTTCAAAGTCCTTTCTAACCCAAACCATTCTATGCAATATCAGCCATTATAGTTAAGCTTCCAAGCCAAATAGCATTGCCTTAATAGAAAGGCCAAGTTACTGTTTAGGAGACTAGAGTCACAAATGCGTGACAACAATTTTAGAGATACTCAAATTTAAGCCTTCTGCTTTAGCCATACGATGTCTTAGAGAAATTACTTCATAATAACAGAATTCCCATGGCAGCAATTTAAGTTAGCATTGACAGTAACCACTTTAAATGTGCTTCAGAAATAAAGGATGAACTGCTACAGCTGTTATTTACAGTTCAACTGAAAAGAGAACACAAGTCAAAAAGAGACAGCTTGTGGAAGTATAACCTCATTAATACTGTGATCAAATACCCAAGCTCCTGAGGATTCCTAGGTTTCAGCTCTTTCCGACCAGCTGTTCTACATCTGCCCTATCTCCGCCTCTCCTGACTTCTTGCCTCCACACCTTTTAAGCCACATGCCTGTGCTTTCAGCAGCTTACACTTTGTCACAAGGCAGTATTTTGAAGAAAGTTTCATGCATCGACTCATTGACATAAAAAGCTCTCCAGTCATTTCAGTGAGCGTACAGTATGTTTCTGAGAACTCAGAGGAAGAACACACTGGGTTTGCCTCAAGTAGACTAAAAAGCCTGGGTTAAGATTCAGCTATTGAAGGTCTAAATTTTAGTAGCAAAACATATGTGATCCTGTGAGAATTTTGACAGAAGCACAAAAGCCACCACTACCATTTGACTTCAAGAAACTTCAATAGAAAGAGCAGTTAAAGCTCAGGCGCATGCAGGAAAAAGAAAAAAAAATGGCCTAAATTCCAATTTGAATGTTTAGAGAAACTGCACCATTAAATTATCTCTTCCAGACAACTGTGTTACAATACACAGTACAGTCTTTTTTGGTAAAAATAATCAAGATAAAGGAGAATTAACAATAAAAGGCTATCTTTCAAGTAAGTGGCACTCTGTTCCAAAAGTAGGGCAGCAGAGAACAAGTTCTGGTGTGTTAGGTCTCACAATAAAAGTAGATTTAAGCAGCTAAAGTTTCATGAGCATTATAGTCTGCTAATTAAAAAAAAAAAAGCTAGAATAGAAGCAGAAAGGCCTGAAAATCAGTACACAAAGTATAAGGAAAGAGGTACACAAGTTCTCCACAGAGTTATTAACCTAAGGGTAGGAAAGTCAAGGTTTACACCGTAGAGCAAGTGGAGAAAGTTCTTTGGACTTCCTCAGAAGTCAGCATGAGTTTTAAAATTGTAATTCAATGATCACAGGTCCAGCTACTCACTGGAGTATTCCAAGAGAAACCCGTTATGACTTGACTTGAAAACGGCACTTTGAAATGCAAGGCCTAATGTCACATGTCGTTAGATCAGCATTATGGCTTGAACCACTTGACACAAAGAATTATAAGCACTTGAATTCTTACCAAGGCAGTCAGTTTCCCTGTTTCCCCCTCTCTTGCTGCTCCTAAGAGTTCTTCTTCCAGTTTCCTTTCTTGTGTCCTTTCCACTGCTATTTAAAACAACCCCAAATACAAGGTCAGTCTCAATAAAGTAGCAAGTACATGTAAAGTACAGCATTCAAGAAACTGTATCAAAACAAGCCTAGAGAAACAAGAGTTTCCAGTATTATTATTTGGGACAGGTATAAACGGAATATTTATTCTGAAAAGTCTGCATCACAGCAAAAATATGTAATATTTGATGAGATGTGTGTGTATACACATGCACATATATATGTTATTATTATTTTTTAAACACTTACAACCCAACCCCACTCCCTAGTAAAAAGGAAAACAGAGAAACTACGTGACACCCCCATCAGATCTTTCCTGTATATTTTCCAGTTTCTCTTCTACTTTTCCTATCATCCTACAGAAATTTTATCCTTGAATAATGCTATTGGCATTCATGATACTTAATTCTCCAAGTCACTTGCAGACATACTGTGGGGGAAAAAACCAAACATCAGTACTGCAGACAGGAACCAAAACAACTTTTTTATTTCTAATGACCAAGTTTAAGGAGAAAATTCAATTGAGCTCCTCTAACTTGCAAGAGAAAACCAGCTTTTAGAATGCACAAGTGTTGAAAAAAACCCAGACTACCACCTATTAAAGTTACCTTCCAACATATTCCTTATGTCTTTATCATGAGTAACTTCTTTTGCAGTCTCTCCACTCCCGTTAACAATAGACGTATCAGCATTATGCTGCAAGAGTAACATCACAACCTCCTGGAAAACAATTTGAAAAAACACTGCTTATCTCTTATGGCAAGGCCACAATCGGGCTTTCCAGCTGTTGACATCCTGTAAAATGAGCTGCATAATAGCTTCTCACCACTGCTGACTTACAAAAACAGGAAGGGATGTTTTAGAGAGATTGAAGAGTGAGACTAACTACAACCTCTCTCACATCAGTCAGGCTGAAGGAACTAACAAGAGATTAGTTACAGCTCAACAGACCCGCTCTGATTTAAAAGCTGTTGTACCTGGTGCAAATACTGAATTTGACAGATAAAAATAGTACAACTGACTCTTTTGATAAGTCATAGATAAGTGACTAAGTCACTCCTTCAGAAGGGACAAGAGGTTATTCATAGAGGCAGTACTAGTTTGGAAATGATGGGTGGCAGATGGGGAACAAACTAGTCTCACATTACAGGCCTATAAAAAGCTCTTTAGTTTTAGTTTTCTAAAAAGAAACAGCACTTCCAGACACCAGATGGACCAGTGTGTCCTAATTTAAATTTTTTCCCTCCAGAAGCCACTAAGATTAAAACAATGTGGTTTCTCTCTTTGTAAATATAGAGATAGTTAGGAGGAACAATCCTTACTCCTTTTACTGTGTCAAACATACCAAGCACAAACACAAACTAATCTATTGTACTTTAGCAGTAGACGAGAGATCTTTACCCTGGTTTCCACATAGTAATTAGCACCTGCAGCTAGAGGTAGTGCTACGCTTCAGAATTTTCTCTGACACACAGCAGACGCAGAACAGAAACAACATCAGTGAGTTACACAACTGATGCACAGCGCTACAGTGGAAGATAACGACTATTTCTCTGACAGCAAAATCTTTGTCAACAAAAAGCTAAAAAGATATGACAAAGTATACCAAGGAAAACCACTGACCAGTCTTCTCTCATCTTCAAGAAAAATTATTTGTACCATGTTTTTGTTTTTGACAGTTATACCAACTAGGTAGTGTGCTTAGTTCTTTTGAACACGCTGTACCAAAACCAGTAAGTCATTTTTAGGCACTGTAAAAACATATTTTTGAAGTGATCTTATTGCTAATATTTCTTTAATAGTTCTATGATTGAGGCTTAAAAAAAGCCAACATCGTTTACCTTACGTCCTGTGAAAGCTGCACGATGGAGTGGAGTATCTCCCATGTCATTCAGCACATTCACATCCGCACCAGCCTAAACAGCAAGACCAAAAGACATCTGAATGTCCTTCCAGCAAGAACTACATAGCTACTCCCTCTGATTGGAGGGAAGGGGAGGATCGGACACTTGCGGCAAATCAGATCAGAACTATAATACAATCATTCTGGAACTGAAGATAAAGTAAGTAAGATGAATAACAAGCATTCTCTAAACTGCTTCAAAAGGCAAAGCCTCCTGCACTTTTTCCAGGCATCTCTCTTTTGAGAGGAAAGTATATGGAAAGTAAGTTTAACACAGGGGGCAGGGATGGTGTTAGTCTGAGGTTTGTTTTATCTTTTTGGTGGTGGTGGGTAGGTGTTGGGAAAAAAAACCCCAAACAACCTACTGAAAGAACTGCAGTGGTACTTGATAACGTGCATGCACATATTATTACAGATGTACACACAGTAGCACCAGCCTCCTGGTACTCCTCATTTAACAAGTGGTGTTCTCTCTAGACACCTATTGCTGCCCTTTCACTTGATGTGAAAACTTCCGTGTCAGCATTAAGATAGTACCATCTGAAACTTAACCTTTCTTCTCCTCCCTTTTCTCTTCTACAATCTTTGTCTTAAATCTCCCTTCCTTTGGTCACACACTTTCTCCATCTCATACCTTTTGTCTGAAAGGAAGACTACTTGCCACACTGCACAGGCACTGTTTCAGGAAACCAAGAAATCCTATCCTCCTTTCCTCAAGCATTTATTCTATGTCCCTTTACCTAACCTCTCAAAGGATCAGAAAGACAGCAGGACATAGTTAACTATCACATATGTTTAGATCACATAGTTTAGCCAGGTCACTGCTGCCTACCTAAAGTTAACTGATAAACCTGAATTTAGTTCCAGAGCGCTCTCCCTGGCAATACCTCATTCACTTGCTCTTTGACCACAAAATCTAGGCACAAGAATGCAGACACACCTATATATGCCTAGCTTTCAGAGGTGCACAGCCTCCTTTATTATTCAACTTACTCTTTAAATAATAACCTTTCAAAAGCCCTATCAGTAAAGAAGAAAGTGCAAAGTTACATATACTCTTCCAACTCCGGAAATGTTGATAAATGCATTAAGTGACAAAACTTTACCTTTTGCTTTATGAAGCTCTCTTGGATTGAGAACAGCATTATCTACTGAGCAGGTGTGTAGAGAAGAACTTCTCAAAGAAATCTCAACTTTTTTTTCCTGCTTTTGAGTCATGATTATGGCTGGCAGCCTTTACTCTGAATGCAATTCAAGTTTAGATTTGCTACCTTTGCATTAGAGGCTGTTTAGCCTGTTCCTGCCATCAGCAGCAAAACCCTTCAAGCAGGAATAGGCTGTAATAATGTTAGGGTTGGTTGAAGCTACCCTGAGAGCTGAGGGTAAAAAAAAAAAAAATAAACTCAGCCAGAAATATCTGCAAATGCAGTGCAGGTGTGGCTATGAAGATACAAATAGGTCAGCTTTGAGCACAGTTTCATCATTTCAAAGATGTTAATAATGAATCAAACTATGTTAGCCTGTGCCTGGAAAGAAACGCATACAAGTTACTTTGCACAGAATTCTGAGCATAGTTCTATGCACAACATACGATTAGATAACATAGATTCTTTTGCATTTGAAACACTTTAGCGTTTCCTGCAACTCAAGTGAAATTGCCTAAATTATATACTTTATATGCTACAGTAAGCAAGATCAGGCCTTGAAGCACTTGCATTACTAGTAATAGATGATGCCTTACTATACACTGATATCCACTGAGCTTGAAAAGGACTGAAGCTTTCAGTGCATACCTATATACTATACATCTTCATTTCCTATATTCAGATGATTACATAGACAAACACACATACTCCAGGAGAAAGTTAGCTAAGTACTGATAACTGTAAATACTGTTCAGAGTAACAGCTGTATACTACTGAATACACTTCCAGGGTCACTATTTTGGGTCCTTGTAAACCAGGCCGATCCTAATATGGCAACTATTTAATTCCTTAGTTTTAACAATCAGCTTAGTTATCTCTATGTTACATGCAGATAAACTGCAGGAGTAGCTTCACCTCTCTACAAAGCCACCTTTCTTCTATCATAAAAACCTGAATAAATACAAACTGCCTCTGGCATAACAAAGAATTTTCTGCCTTATACAGGGAAGCAAATAGAAATATACCTTCAGCAAATCTTCTACCACAACAGCATGTCCAAAGTAGCATGCAAGGTGAAGAGGTGTCCAACCCATATTAGATTTACTCCTGCCTAAAAGACAAGACAGGTAAATTACATTTTGGTCATACAATACAAAAACGATCTTTGCACACGCTTGGAGGTTGGCACGGATGATCATTCTTCACAGTAACAGAGGAGCAAGGAGGCTAGAAGCATCAATACTATTCACATCATCTGAATTACTAAATTGGGATGCAGTTTGAGAATGTTAGATTCAAATCTACAAAATCTTTCTGAAAGAAGAAAGTCATTAGAATAATGGAGAATAAAACTTTTGTTTTCTTGTAATACCTTGCTCTTCAGCAGTGGCAAGAAGCTTCAGTTACTTTCACTCATATGAAAATACCGCATGCAAGTACAGATTTCTTTTGTTTATCAAAAGAGAGTTTGGTTTATCTGATTTTATGTCCTGCACACAAATGAGAGGTAGGACAACCCATCTTACAAACAGGTGATTCAAACCAAAACAGGTAGAATGGCCTAATGATATGGTTTTTGTTGTCTTGTGCTTGTACTCAATTTTAATAGACAGCCTTACTACGTATCATGATTTCAAATCTTTGTGCACTGCAGAACTCGCGTACCATCTACAGCTGCAAGCCTCTGCAAGAATGATAAGCATAAGTGGGAAGCAGGCAGAGAAGTGACCATACAAAAGAAACTATCGCTTATGCTTTAAAAAGCATTTAAAGCATGTTCTGGAGGACTAGCTGTATGAAAGAAATTCAGTAACTGTCCTACAATCACTTCTTAAAAAGCAAGATATTAAAAGTATCAGAGATTACTAATTTAACAACTCGTGTTTGTTTCCAATTGCAATGCTCAATTGTACTAAGCAAAGCTGATTTGTGCTTTGGTTTTGCTAAGCAACAGACACACAGCATTCTAAGTGCCACTTAAAAGCTATAATTTTGTATGTGGAAGCAAAATGAAAATGAGGCATTGGAAATGGTTTTCTGCCACTATTAAGTTTTCCCTTTACATGTGTCCTCAAGCATTGAAGTCTGGAACATGCATAACATAAGACTGCCCTGAGGGGACAAGTCACTAGCATAAGGAAAGAGAGATGTGCTGATCTTGCAAGTTCATCATTCTTTCTGCTCTCATATTACAAATTAACATTAGAATGTAGTTCACAGCTGAAATATTTTCCCATTTCTTATAATTGTTTCCAGCTAACACTTCTGCCCTCTGTTGGCTATTTCTTTTGTTATTGGTTCTCTTGTCCCAACCACAGATTCAGTATCTTACCCTTATCCCAGTCTGGCCTACAACAGAGCTCCTGCTCTAAGTGACTGATGGGCTCAAGTACCACAGAAGATAAATGCTGTGCAGATCACTAATTCTAGGGCTACATACGCTGGATAATGTACTAAATGGACATCATTCATCCCTCAGTCTAGTAGGGAAGAAGGTTCTTTCAAAGAACACAAAAGAGGTCCGAGCTGCACTGAATTCAGTGCAACGAGCCTGAGACAGTCATTAGTTACAGCATTGACAGGACAGTGCTGCAGCTAAGGAATCTGGTCATTAAAAAAAAAAAAATCAAGAACCTGGCCAGATTTGTACTTCTTACAGAATAAAGTGCCAGACAGCCTTGTTCTGCATCCACTCTGAATGTTTGCATTTCTGATGTTAGCCGACCAGTTACTTCTCAAGCTCTTGAGGTATTTGTTACTTCTCTTCAAGTGACCACAAGTGTTTGCACTTTTTTTATTATTTTAAACCAGGACATCATTACACTGATGAGAATGCAAGGATAGGAAAGTAAAATAAATACAGCAAAAAATACTTCTCCTACCTAGTTCTTTGCTTTCATGCCAATTAACTATAAGTCTCAAGTGTTACCACTTGTTTAGAGAACGGAGACAAACTAGGTAGTCATCTCCTGATTGCAGTCTGCCAGGCTACTGCACAGTCATTCAAATGTATATTTTGGCTTAACACACCGTTGACCACTGACCTTATTTCCCAGTTTTCTTATTTCCCAGCTTTCTCACTTTGCAAAATCCTAAATATTTTATTTTCTTGTATTTAAGGAAAATAATGCAGTATAGTCTTAGAAAATATGATCGTTTTGGATGAAACCCAGGTTTAGTGCTGTTTTAACGTGGATACCTTCTTTTGAAACCAGTGAACTGAGAAAACTGGAAATGAAAGTTCACACCATTTGGCTGGATTCTCATCAAGCAAGTCTTGCTTATCTGCAAGTGCTGACTGGCTAGAATCCAGTCACACCAGAACAAGTAGGAGAAGCCTGGATTTAGGTTCTGTTCCTTCACTTTGGCTGAAATATGGATGTTTGGGATCGCTCTTGTCAGACTTCACACTTGCGAATCTAGAGCACAGCCTCAGATATAAGCTTACTCTTGGAAAGACAAGACAGGTTTTACAACATCTTGAAGGTAGGCTTTGACATCCAGGCACATTAATGTGTTGGACTTACATCTCCCAAGGCACACTCTGGGGGAAGTTTACACTACCTCCATTACAGCCTCCTGCCTGCTCCAAAAGCACTTTTCTCCAAGCCAAGTGACATTGCCACATCAGATGCAAGTCCTCAAGGAACTACTGCAGCATTGAAGACATTCCCCGTGCCCTGACCTTCTAGGGGTATCTGATTATCCAGAAGGTAGTGACAGAAGGACAAGAGGCTGTAGGGAAGAGAAGGAAGATTGAGGGTTGCAAAAAGTAACTTAGAGTCTAAAGCCTGTATTTTAGTTAATCATGTGGTTGTGCAATCCCTATCCGGTAGTACCTAACAGATCAGGATTTGTAGCAAGACATAGCGGTTTTGCTAGCGAGGAGGCAGAATGGCAGGGGTAGTTATACTGCAGAGGCTGTTCAGCCTGAATTTGTCTTAGACTATTTCCAGTGGACTATGGCAGCAGTGATTGAAACAGCCTCTAAAGAGTGACTGTGTAACAACAGAGATTCAACTCAAGTTTCACACAACCAGAACAGATTCCCCAAATAACACCTTAGTTACACTTCTGTGTCCTCTAGCATTTAAAGAATTGGAACTTCGAAAGCAGAGATTTCACTGTGTATAGATTCCGTGTCCAGAATTATTTTGTTTAACCTAAACTATTACCAGCACATTCCCCTCTAGCTTCCTAGAGCTCCCATTAGCAAGCATTTATTAGCTGACTGGACATGTATTGCTAAACTGGAAGAATAACAGCTAAGCACCATCTATCTTTCCCTTCATTAGTTGAGTCTCTTCTATGCTGCAGACTTTCACAATACTAACACTTGACTTTGAGCAG